ACACACACACACACACACACACACACACACGTTGTACGCACGTCGTTCGTGAGACCAGCCGTCACGCCACGACGTGCAGAAGAGGATGATGAGGTAGGAAGGGATGGAGGGTGGGTGCTGGTTAATGAGCTAGAACCACGGGGGGCTCGGAAACGGGCCTGCGAGGCAACGGGCTCCATCGGCTCTTTCTGGGAAGTCACGAATCGCAGCCTCCTGGCCGCTCGTGTTACGTTTCCCGCGTAAAAGCCGCCACTTCTTTACCTTGCCCTCGCCTTCTGTCGTTAAGTCAGACCGAAGGCACGCGTGGGGAACGCATTCCATTTTCCTTACGTGCGACTCTGGCAAATCCCAACTTTCGAACAATCTTTGATTGAATAACAGAACGAACATGATATTCGATATTCCTCGTTATCTTTTATCATTTAATATTTTGATGTCCCACCATACTTTGTCATACAAATGATTATAATAATTCAATCTTTATATTACGTGAATGAATATTGATAAAACTGAACTCGTCGAAGACAGAAATATCGGAAGATACTGGATGCTTATCCAAAGATAAAAATTATACGAATAAGGAATAAATTATACGAATCAGATGAAAACTAAATATTATAAACTTTGATATTTGAAAAAAATACTTTGGAACGATAGAGTGTCGAAAGATCAATAATGATCATGGAGAATAATCTGTACGAAGTTACAGTGCTCACAGTTGTGATAAGCGAGACGGAACATCGGTGAGAGGAAGGAGATTGGAAACGTCGACGGAAGAGAAAGAAGAAAGAATGAGAGAAAAGATGCAGCGAGAGTGGGGTACACCTGACCAACAGGTACCCGATGAGGTCCCCCATAAACAGTCCCATCATTGGCTCGGCCCACTCTCCCACTACCACATGGGGGCTTTCTCTCTAAAGGGTTCCAAGTCTTCCCTTTCTACAGTCACCCAACATCTTACTGCTAAGACTCCTTCTGAGCGAATAGAGATGCGAATAACGAGACTGAAAGCCATGAGATACCATTACTTTATTTTGTTATTCCATTTTCCCTTAGCATTTACCATAACCGGAAAGCTTTTTGTGGTCAAGTGTTGAAACAATCATTAATCTTTATGATCTCACTCACAAGATCTTCATCTCTTGTGAATATTTTTTTGAACGGTATAAATAATTTTGGAATATGAACATAGATTAATAATATATGTATAACGCTAATGTTGATAATATTTAAGGCAAGGTGCAAACGGATGAAAATCAAAGCAAAGAGCTAAAAGTCGCTCCCCTCCTCTCGCGCGCGAAAGAAGATCCAAGGCAGGATGAAATGGAAAGAGATTCTCTTATGTGCTCTGATCATAACGAGCGCAGCGTTGTTGCCGGCTCGGCTGTACTCACATAATCCATGTACACGCGTCCCTTTTTGTTTACACTGGATAACACGACTACCATGAAGCGAGGTAACCGCTTTTTGCCATGTTCTCTCAGGAGCAGTCCTGTAAGACGGATCGATTGGACGTAGCCGCACTCGCATATCGGCACTCTGTCGATTTTAACGACCGCACGGTCCATTCACTCCAGACCGGCCGTACAAAGCGTTCTCGGCTTGACAATTCTATTTCTTGTCCGTTCTCTTTGCCACCATCTAAATAGCTAGCGACGTTGGCTGACGCCGATTCAAAAAGTCGACAAAACGTATCGATCAGACACGGTCGGGGAGAAGACAGGAAGTCACGCTTGTCGTGCGATATCCTAAGGTGTATGTTCGCGGCGGATAAACGTTTTAAACAGTCGCACAATTCATTAGACAGTATTTCCTAATTTTTATATTTTCTTCAAAGACAAATGATTGCGATTCAGAATAACAAACATTTATTCGCTTCTGCGAATTGTGTTTTGTGAAAAAGAATATTTAGAGACAATATCGTTCTAATAATTCAAGAGATTATACGGGAGAAATGACAAATCGCGCCCTGTGTCAATGCCCGTTATAGAGGATGATGAATCATTAACAATGTCGAGGAGCAAAATGATTAAAGCGACGCTGATTTGCAAATACGAGTAAGCCTAAGTCGATATATAAAAGCTTACGGTAGATTGGCCGGTTGTTTGACGATAATTAGGTCTCGCGGAACGGAATCTCGCCTCCTTCTCATTGCCAAGAGAGCGACGGCGGTCCAGCAAAGTCAACAAAATAATGAGTAGTCACGGATGTTTGTCGGCAAACGCGAACGTAACGCAGCTCGAGACTGATGAGGAGGATCCACGCCAGAGAATTACATGGACGTGGCGGAGAGCGGGAGGACAAACGATGTTGAAGAGGACCACGAGTCGACGGCTAGTTAATGATGTTCTATGCACTTCATCCCTCTACCAGTAGTGATTATCGGGGCACTCATCATAATGGAATCCCATTCAAGGTTGACATGATCATCTTCATTTTCAGGAATACATATACGAATTTACGAAATCGATTTACAAATAATTATAATTATTAAAAGCAATTATCACATTTATTAATTATTTTGTGATTTTCTTTTTATTTGTGCACTTGATTATTTCCAAGAATCTCGTAGTTATTAAATAACACTACTTGGGAGCTATTTAATTAACACTATCAGAAGAGATTTATAAAATTTGACGACATTCGAGAAAGAAAATCTCACTTACTAAAATTTTATGTGCTACTTCTAAGAAACTTTGTTTTAAGTTAAGTATTAAGTTAAGTAAAAAACTTTGACGTCGTAATGAAGACAGATAGAGTAATAAACGGTTTTTCGAGGTGTATACTCATTAATCTCGGGAAAAAGTAGGTTGTTATAAGAGTTGATGAGATGCGAGCCGCACCCTCGCACAAGATTCTCGGTTGTCTCACACGTGCTGCACGAGAACACAGAACCGAAGGATCGAAAACGTGAAGAAAGATACGATAGGCGGACGAAACCTTTGGAATCCTTGCCGCCGGGTGACCAGATTTTTTCTCAAACTTGTAACTTCGAGAAATCTGCGCAGGCATTCTAAAGCAAGGATGACTAACAAGAAATAGGAAATACTTGATACCAGGCATATGGTGAAAATTCAGGCAGGGTCCGGAAGTCGAACACTTTGGTGAGTTGCGTCAAACGCATATGTTTCGCATGCACTGATGACGCATCTGTAATATTTCGACAAATTTTCCACAATGAAAAGAGAGAATTCTCAGTCGAAAATCAAATTTTAATATATAAATAATTATATTTTAATATATAAATAATTAATATATAAATAATTATAGAAAATCAAATTTTAATATATAAATAATTATAGCAAATCATAGATAGGATAATTCTTCGAATACATATTACATTTATAAAATAATCTTTTTCCAGAAAATCAAAATCAATATCGATTGCTATAGACTAACAAAGGTAAACGAGATAATAGAAATAATAAAAAACGACTAATATTTAGAAACGACTAATATTTAAATTTAAAGAAAAGTACTAATTTATAAAAAAATGTGGAATTTAATTTTATCTAATATGAGATTATATAAATTTTTAAAATACGATTTTTCTGAAGCCTTAACGCCGTATTAACATCAACATAGTTTATTTCAGTATAATATCACGCATGTAATATCCGCAAATAATTTTATAGTTGAAGTGCAATCTCGCTAACTGCTGCACGATAATTTTCGGTGCCCTCTTCCATCTAAAAGCGCATACGAGAAAGAGCGAGAAGGAAAGAAAAAAAAAAGAGAGAGAATGACTCGTCTTTCTCCGATACACCCACGCGCTTCCCTTCGTAGCCGCGAGAACGAGACGAAAGATCGGAAAGGGCTGAGGGTGGGAGTCAGGGACGGCTGGTGCTAGTTGAGTTGTCGAGCTGACACGCGTTCTCTCTCCTCGTTCCGCCATTGCTGTACCAGTCGTCTCCCTTTAACTTTCATCCCACAAGCTCCCTCTCTCCTCACGATTCTTCCCACCATTCCCGATTGAACCGCCTCTCTTTCTCTCCCGCATCGTCCCACAACGTCGTACCTCTTTCTCGTAACTTTTCACTCTCTCGCTCTCTCTCTCTCTCTCTTTCTCTTCTTCTCACGTTCTCTTTTCCCCACTCTTTTCTTACATCAAATTTTCCTCTTCGAGTCTTTGCAGCCTCTCTGTCGCACACCTAGAACACGCTATAGCCACTGCCACACGCCCGGCCTCTCTCCTTCTTGACCATGCTCCCTCTTGATGGCCGTGATGGTGGTGGTAGTGGTGGTAGTGGAAGAGTTTCAGTACCGCCATACCCGCCAAAGCACAAGTACCGTGACAGAGCCCGCATGCACGTTTCGACTCACGCCTTTCCCAAAGCAGACAGCCTCGTCACTCGCGCGCCGTCGGGGACATGACCTGTTGTGTCACCAGACGAAGGGGATAATTATCTGCGTTCCGGACACACAGAACAGTGAAATTTAATATCAGAGTGCTTCAATTCAAGGAATAAAATCAAGTGTCGTGCGTGTTTGCCGATCAGCAGGTAGTGATTAGCACGGTGCTCTAACGCGTCCGTTCGTCGAGGATGACGATCGGGAAGGCGATCGTGAGGACGTCTGACGCATCGTCAGAAACAGTTTGATCGTGGTGAACGTGCTCCCGATTCGCGCGATCAGTGAGAGTCGTCGGATATGATGCTGATTGATTGACATCACCTTACTGAATCTGTCTGTTCAACAACGAGATCGTTCATGCGATGTTAATACACGTCGTGATTCCGTCGTGGTGTACGTTGCTACTCGATCAAATAGAAACTGGCCCGCGTGGATTAACGAACAGTGAGTCATCGTCGTTCGGCTGCCAGTGAAAGGAGTTTCGTATCGGTAGCAAAGCTGTGAGGCTTAGATAATTTGGATTCATCGGTGAACACCGTTTGATATCAAGTACCGAAGTCTAAAATCGAAAGCGATTCTAAGAAATTCTTTCGAAGGTCGGAAGGAACCTTAGAGACGTGACCATTTACGAGCAATGTGCAAGTGTCATTGAAAATTTCAACAGAATTGGTTCCTCCGGAAATACCGACGGGCTTGTCGATGGAACACAGCACTATTCAAACTCCGACGATGAGGATGTAGACGTGGAAAGTCTAAGAAGTGTGTCTCACGAGATACCGTATACCTGTCTCGATCTTTTCGGCCAGAGACAAGTGAGGAGCAATTACGGTGACACATTCATCACCGAGTCTCTCTTCAAAGATAAGTGGACGGCCTCTTTGAGAACGGACTATGTCCGCCATTGTTGCCCGTCGTTTGTATCATCGGTGCCGCAAGCAGGGTGCCAAGACGACGACCGATCTGCCTTGATCCTGGAAGGGACGGGCGGCGATTTTCTGGCGCGACAGCTGGCTTTGGCAGCAGCAACAGCAGCAGCAGCCGCCGCAACGACAGCGGCCGCCGGCAAGATGCCGGAGAAGGAGGTCGCTTATCATCAAGAGACATTCTCGTTGCTGCAGCCGCCGCCACCGCCGCATCACTCGCACTCGGCCTTCCACGCAGCTTTCCACCCGCATCCCCATTCGGCACCCCCGCCGTCATTTCACACGCATCACGGGCCACCACCGCCGCCGCATCCGGCCGCTTGGGAGCATCACGCGGCGGCGGCCGCAGCGGCTGCGGCCGCGGCCGCGGCTTTCCATCCACCGCCCCATCACCCGTGAGTTTTCATTTTCATTTGTTTTGAATAATCCATATGTGACGTGCTTCGAGTTGACAAGTGTCAAAATAAAAAGGAAAATATTAGTCAATTGCTATTGAATTACAGCATTATTTTAGGAAATATTAAAAAAAAGAACGTTTAAGAAAAATCCTGATATCTTTGAAAATTTTCAGTTTAACAGATTTATTATAAATTCGGATTAATCCGTGTATTTCATCAATATTTTATGAAATCAAGTTTGTTACTTAGAATTACTCTTCAGAGTTACCCTCGTGTTGTTCTTATTTATATTTAAGTAGAATTCAGAGTCATTAGATATGGATCGAGATACTGATCACTGCGATCGCAATATAGTCATTGAGCGCATACAAGTTTTCAACTTGACGTATATCGTAAAGGATTAGAATTAAGGTTTAAGACTTTGCATGTTATTATACATAACCCTTTCGTAAGGGGCAGACCGTAATATTAGTTCGCGGAATTTCGATCGAAGTTCGTTAATAATTAGTTCACTCGCAATCTCTCTCTATGCTCTATACGAGCGAAAAGACATTGATTAATGCGTAATCACCTATAATTTGTACATGCGAGAATACGAGGCACACCGACGCCAACTGATCACGTTATATTTTGCGTAACACGATTGCGTCTAATAAAAACAGCGCGAGCAACGATTTTACTCGTATTTGCATAAACGATGTTCTACGATCGCGCTGTTGCGTGTCGCGAGCGTTAAACGAGAAGCGTTAATGGGAGGAAGTCCTCGACGTGAGAATCGGCGCCGATCGGAAAGCATGCGACGCTCCGAGTCTCGAATCGAATACGAAGGCGAAAGGGGCTCGGCGGAGAATCGCCTTACCGACAGAATAGCCGCTTAACATCTTAATCGAGTTAATTAAAGCCTCCTCGCACGTTTTCACGTTCCGCGAACACGACACGCGATTGCACGCAACGAGATTACCTCCTCCGACTCTCGCCGAGGCTAGGCACTCTCGAACGTGGAAACGGAGTGGTGCGGCAAAGCGACGCAATAATTAGACGCTTCGGTGCGGACCGAACAAAGCCGCGGTTTCCTCCTTTCAGCGCTTCATTTTCACCATGGAATTGCGGTGCCCCGACGAAAGGCTAATAAAGGCCACGCTGTTATTCTTGATCTTGAGGATACCATGGTATCCCCGAGGAATATGGAATACCTTTCTGGAACTTTCAGTTCAAGAATGAGACAACAGATAACAAAAAAGTCATTCGTAATGTATATTTGTTATGATAATGTTTCTGTGATTTCAATACGCGTGCTCTATATTCGATGTTAATATCACCAATGTGATTAATCGGCGATACACTTTGCCAACTCGATGATCAATTAATAATGCACAATTAAAGTGACAATTATGCAAAAAATTAGTCGTTTAATCTCGGGCGACATGAATATTTAAATCGCGGGGACAGGGGGAGAGAGGAAAAAAAACAGATGCATTAAGAGCGTTGTAAAACTCGGCGTTGATTCTTCCATGGCATTAAATCAGCCAGCAACCGTAGCAGGTGTTCCGGAACGGCAATCACCGAAGCTCCAGTATGTCGGTCCAATTAAGCATTTAATTGCAACAGTTGCCACCCTCTCGATCATCCGTAATATCGTATCGATAAGCAGGAACAGGTAGTAGAACTCGAGCGACTAATAAATTCTTGTCGGTTGACAATTTTATTGGGAGACGCGGAATTGCGTGTGATTGCGCATAGAATATCGATCTACATAATTGTACTGATTATTATTCGTGCAGAATCACGCTTGACTTATGTAAGAATTACCTAAATCTGCGTATAATAAAGTGAAGGATGTATAAATGTCATGTGTGGACACGCACAGGCCGACACATGTCGTGATATTTGCAAACTCACGTGCATTGTGTAAATAAATATTCGCTTAATATTACTGTCATCATTGAAATTATCACATGTATAATAAGGCACAAATGAAAATTAGAAAATTTTGATTTTGAGGATATACGTATGTATGTTTTTAGAATTGGAAAAGATCAAAGAGAAATTAAAATACATTATCATCTTAATTAATCGTTAAAATCCTAATTATCTTAATCCGTTAAATATATACGTGCGATTTTTTTCTACATTTGTTTTATTTATGTATTTATTGTTGCTGTAAATCTCAAGACTAAATATGTTGATTATGTCTGCGTTTTTTAAATGTGTTAAAGAATCTAGAATTAAAGAACAAAAGAGAAAATTTAGCGATACCAATTTCGCGGTTCTCACAAGGGTACACGCGCCGATTATCGGGTCTCGCCTCGTCCTTTGTTCATTCGCTTTCTTTATTCATGCCACGATCTTAAAGCTCGCAGTAGGAGGCCGAAGAGCGAATCGCGTCGGCTTCGTCGCGGTCGCCGTAAGCGCACGCACGGCCAAACAAATGGTGATGCTGGCGTGAATCAGTGTAAAGGATGAAAATCTAAAGAAATGAAGAAAAGTTCAGGACGAGGCCGGGAAAAAGGAAGAGAACACTCGCCGGAGAAAATCGTGCCACGCGTATCTAATTCACGACGAGGAAGATGCGCGTCGGTCTTTTCTCGAGGATTTGCGGTTTTACAGCGAGCACGGTGTTGTAAAACGTCGTAAAGCCACCCCCCCCCCCGAGTTGTGTGACAGATCGGACAAGTAGCGCACGCATGTGCGTGCGTGCTAGAGCGAGCATGCGCGTATACCATCGAGCTACGGTGAAAAGTCCGACGACGCATGATCGATGTGTTTATCCGTAATGTGTAATCTATATGTAAACAAGTTGTAAAGTTAGAAAATATCTCCGTCAAAGGACGAAATTTCTTTCTTTTCGCATTATTTTCATATCTATAATAAGAGATATGAAAATCTATAATGAGAGATATATATGACTGTTGATTTGTCAAAAAAAAAGGAACGTGCAAAAAACGAGAAACTGAATTACTAATATCGTTGGATATATTGCCATTTCGTACCTTATAATTTACTTAATCGCTGTACGCTTGTACTGCAATTTTTCACAGATGTTGAAAAGCGTACCTAGAGCGTACCTAGAGCGTACCTCTCGATCATAGAGCGACGCAATCAAATCTTACGGCTATTACATGGTTCATTGCTTGGCGCATAAACCGGATGTGTTAAAGCGACGAGATGAAGATTTCGATACATCGAATAATTTTTCAATTAGAGATTGTCTCACTTCGTAGAATCTCTCACGGATCGATCATATTATCATGATTTTTAATTGAATATATCTTATTATTATTATTATTATTTTATACATTGCTCGTTGACATATTGATATTACTTCTCGTAGTACTCATAACAAGTTCGAATACGCGCCATCAATTTTCATTTTACGATATTCTATTCTCTCGATCTTGTTTCCATCGCGCATAGACCGTTCGCGAGGCTATCGAAACTTCCGTGGTGCTTCTTGGGAACGAGAAAGGACGGAGAAACGATGGCGGATGTAAAGTGTATGGTACACGCCGGGCGCCGTGTCCCGTCTCTGCCTTCTCCTCGCTGTCTTGAACAGATATTTTCGTCTCTTTACGAGGACGCAAGACACGCCGTGTATTTTTGCCTTCGGCGTTTCGCCCCGTCACAGCGAACGATATCGTCGGTTCTACGTCGGCGTCATCGCGCGTCTTCGCTGACGAGCCACGTCTGACGTTTCGACACGGTAAACGCTCAGCTCTGTTAGTTAATGCATTGCGAAATGAACAAGATGGTGGTTTTCGGGAGGACAACTCGATTCCGACTTTGACGCCGATACATGTATACGATGATACCTCGGAATCGAAATCGAAAAACCTACCGAGCGAATTCGAGCGTCGAGGAGCGTGGAAGACGGTCCTTATCGTAAGTTTTTATCGTAATCGCGACCGAAGCATCACCGCTGACCCCACGCACCGATCGTGGGAAGAGGATCTCGTTTTGTCGCGAAACGGGACACAAACAATGCAACAGGATCGCCTCGCGTCCCGTTTATGAATCTCTTCATCGCGTGGGCCGTCGCGCGGGAACGAAAGGGAATCGCGCGGCGAGAAGATGCGGGCTGTTGTCCGGCGTCGTGGAAAACAAACGAGATGCTACCAGACAGATGCTGGTATTCTCCGGACTTTCTCGTGGGCATCGCCGACGAGGAACCGTCCAGATCGGATCACGCGCGCATAAAATATCGCGAGTCCTTTTACTTACGTGCGCTTTATCGGCGCGAAATTCCTCGTGGCGGGACGGCGCGGCGAGACGCGCCTTTTAATTCGTCGCGAATCCTTTAAACTTCGTTTCATCGAAATACATTTCGCCGTGGTTGGAATACGAATGCGCGGATACATCGTTTCCCGCGGGCTCCCTCCTTAATTCGCCCGCGATCCAGACCGGACTCGTTTCGCTCGCGCTTATAAGGCGCGACCGCGATCCGCGCGATGTGCTTTCGGCTTATCGAAAATACGTTCGAGGCGCGCAAAGTGTTGTCGCGACACCTCTCTCGTTCCGCTTGTCGCGCGAAACATTACTTTTGCATACCCGTTCGTTTGGATTTCATTCCGATGCGAACGGGCGTATGGAACGACGCGATTCGCGCGCGCGTCACGAAATAAATATACCTCCTTCTTCGCTTATCTAGCGAATATCTCTCGCGCGAGATTTCACCTTTCGCAGTATCGAAAAAAATTACCGATAAAAAGAGGTGAGCGTGTGCTTCGTTAGGAATAGTACGGTAGTATCGAAATCTCCGCTTCCTTCTATCTGCCCATCCACCCTCGAATGATTTCTCGGTACTCGTATCATGGCGTAAACACCGACCGGACGAGCATACGCGATCTCGAGTATACGCCGCCGGCTGCGCGGCGATGTACGGATGTGCGTAAAAACGAGGGAGCGATTTGTCAGCGCGCGGAGTCGCGATGCAGACGGTAGGAAACTCGTCGAAGGAAGACATTCCCTTCCACGCGGCTTCGGGAGGCCATGCGCGTTCC